TGGAATGAGGGGAATTATACTTACCCATCCACACTTCCCCAAACTGCCCGCTGCCAAGTTTCTTCACAAGCTTCAGAGACTCCCGTGGGATCTCCCATTCGTCCTGTGCCCAGGGTCTCTGGGGAACCAGGGATATGCATGGAACTGTGAGCCGCTGGCATAGGCCATCCCCTTTCTCTGTATGAGGACAAAGCACAGGACAGTTCAATGGGATGGCAGAGCTAACCTCCTCCATCCACACATGCCAGGAGTCATCAACCCATGGAAAAGCTCTGCAACCACACAAATGTTTCATCCACAAGGATCAAGGCACCCAGAATGGACTCGATGAAAGGAAAAAGTTCAAAGGGAGCCATAGAAGAGAAAGTTCTCCTGCCCAACAAGTCCAAACCCTGCTTCCCAAGCATCCCTCCTGCATATCCATTCAACGTTTATCTCTTTCCTTTCCTGATGGGAGACACTCCCTGGTTATAGAGCTGTGGGCAGAGCTCACCCTTGCAATGTCCTAGGATGAAAGATAGGACATAGTTGCCCAAGTTCTGCTTGGAGAAGTACACCTTGCCCATGACAGTGGATGGGGTGATGGTGGTGGCTAGTAAACCTGTCCTCCTCCCTCTGTCCCCCTCCCTCTCCCGCCTTCTGCTAGGAGACAAATGCATTAGGGAAGGCAAACAACTTACGGCTGTAATGGTGGATTAGCTCTGGCAGGCTGGAGAAAGTCATCCTGGGGGAGATGTAATACCCCCCACCATCTAAGGCGCGGATCCTGTAGTGTTTGATGATGTCCCCATGAGCAGAGTCGCTGTCTCTCACGGACAAGGAATAGGCACCTGGAGAATGAGCAGAAGAGTGAACTGTGAGGACAAGTAGGACCAGGGACCAGCTACATCCTCTTCCCTTGCCTGCCTGCAGCTGCAGACACCTCTCCCAGCCCTTGCTGATGCCTTCTCAGGGCAAGTTCCACCAGACCGCAAACCTACAAATTTCCCTTTCTTCAAGTCAAGCAGAGAGGATAATCAGAGCTTAACTGGCCTGTCAAGGCTTGGTTGAGTAAGACCTGCCTATGCCGTGGCCAACAGCCCCAAGGAAGCAACCAACAGCACATCTCCAGCTTCTTACAGATCCCATCTGAGCTCTCTCAACCCCACCATCTCATCTGGACAAAACAAATGACTGCAGCCTCACCAGTCTGTACAAACACGGGGCCAAAGAGGATCTTAACCACCGCACCAGCACAACCAGAATTTCAGTCAGTGGGAGAGAGAAAGTCAAGAGATACATGTCCCTTCTCAGCATTATCCAAGGTCCCCACATCCCTATAACCCTTGCGCCAAGGTCAGTGGTTCAACTGGGAGTACAGAAAGGGGGTTCAGGTGAATTTTCTTGTTCAGCCATAAACTCGTGACTGTGGCTAAACCACGCGTAGATTCAGGTCTAGATTCAGGTGCCTTTTGACCTCAAGGGAGCTACTCAACCATCTACCACTCCAACCTGCTATTGTCTCCTTATAATGGGTTTGTAATCTAAAGCATGGTGCTGTTTTTTTGTGCACAAAAACATCACTAGATGTTGCTACAGAGCAGCAACTTCCAGCCTATGCCAGTGTAAATTTCAATACATCTTAGCAATGGGTTTTTTTTTCCCCCTTTTGTCTGAATCATGTTTCCAGGGAAAGTTGTTACAAGCCTGCTGGGCTGTGAAAAGTCTAATACGTCAGCCGGGTTGATAGGCTGCCTGTTTTAGTGTTTGAAAAGGCAAAGCTATGTATGTTAAAAAGTACAAATGTGTCATGTAGGATCATAAGCAGAAGTGGGGCCTTCCACAGTGACTCTGAAACCATAATCCTGCGTGCGAGAGGAAAGTTTACTAACATGTAACACACACTGGTCGGTGTTTCTCCATTGCAGCACCAGCAGTTCCCTAAATTGGGTTTGGAAACCATTTTCGTTTTTAAAAAGTAACAAAAGAAAACCACCTCTGTGGATATTTGCCGTGTTGCAGCGATTATAAATCTTTACAAGCAGAATTTGGGAAAGTCTGAAATTTTTCTAAGTGCCAGCAGTCGTTTTGGGGGGGAAACGCTTTCTGCAGAGACCGGACTGTGAGATATGGTGGCATATCTCGTATCTGTAAGGGTGAGAACAGAAACAAAAGCTGGAGGGATAGAACCTTCTTAACCCTGTGTTAAGGTTCTGCCACCAAAGCCAGCCACCAACGGGACTGTAAACTCTCACTGGAGAACCACAAAGCTTTCTGAGTCTGGTTTCCTGATGCCTGGTGCAACCCGTGCCTCCATACACCCTAGGGTTCTCCTTCTATGGTGAGCTTGGGAGTCAGCTACAAGAGCCTTTTTACACTAAAGTACCTCTGGCATGTTCAACAATATTTGCTAACAAGTACCTCAAGGTTTTATTTCCTGCATAGACACCTAAGAATGTATGAAACCATAAACCAGAAAACACAATAAAACAGCAGGATGGTTGTATGCTCTCCCAATACACTTTGGGGGACTACTGAAATCCCCCGGGGTTTGATCAGTGCTCCCAGCTCTGCTCCTTAATAATGTGAGGTGGGAAACAGGAGAAAAAATAAAATTGTCAGAAGGTAAGACCTTAACTGTAGTCTAAAGGGACAAAATAGCCCAGCGCTTTGTTTTCCATACAACAAAGTCAAAGAGTTAAGCAGTCTGATTGCATCAGTGTAGCATCTCCCTGCATGGACACACTCTGTGGGACAGTGATCAGCACATTTCCTAAGGAGCAAGTCCCAGCTGAAATGATTTGTTACAGACAGTGCCCAGGAAGCACACAGCATCAGCATGGTGGGCTCTTTTACAATAGAGAATGCTCTTCTGAAACTCTCCTTCACCATGAGTATCAGGCAGAAGACAGACCTGGGAAGCCCTTTTGGCTCTATCAGTGCTGCAGCTGAACATCTGAGAACATCCCTGAAACATCTTCAATGGGGGAAAAAAAAAAAGCCTCAACAGAAGGGCAAAAGAATGGCTCATTTTTGGACCCTATGTCTCAGTGACCAAAGGTCACTACGCAGCTAAGGATGTCTTTCCCAGGGAGTGATATTTGGTCCCTGGTGGGTGCAGAGAGGTGTTGCTAGGGCTTGTGTTCGCAGTGCTCAGCACAAGTCCTGCTAGACTGGATCAGCCACATTCACACTCCCTAGGACTTGGCCCCAGATCTCCCCCGGCTCCTCTGTGATACCTATGTGACCCTAAGTTGCAAATACTACTATTACTACTACTATTTATAATAAAAATCGTAATAACGACCACAACAATAATACCAATAATTCATATACATGTATTATTTTTGTTGTTATTATTTTTTTCTATTATTGTTGTTGAGAGTGATGACGATGTTATTTTAATTTCAAAGCAATTGAAATAACGTGCAGACCAGGCTGCAGCCCGTCAGTGTTGGGCTCATATGGCACAAGCCCAAGAGGGTGCTTTGCATGCCTGGGACGTGGCTTAGGGTACGTGTGGGATTCTTTACGACGCAAGGCCTGCTAGAGGAAGGAGCCAAACGTGGTGTGAACCCAGCTGCACTGACGACAGACAGCATTTGCAGATGGGAGTGCAGGAATTAATGACTAACATGTGTGCAAGAGGGTGCCTGGGGGCTGAGAGTCAGCAGAGGAGAAGAGACCTGATCTGTATGTTAGCGTGGTTGCACCTCAACCGCCTGCCCTCCTGCAGGACCTCCTCTCCAGACCCTACTGACCCTTTTAGACCCTCTTGCATCTTTCAAACCAGTGACGTGCAACATGCAGCGGTGACAGGGGCTCCGGGCACCCTCCAGGCCAATCTATCAGCTGCCTACTACCAGCATTAATACTTATCCTGTCATTAGAGCTAATGACTGTATTTCACTCCAAGTCAGGGTTTAGTTTGCTGGAGTGAGTGTGATAGAGCTTTGCCCGTCATTCACCACAGCTGGTTACTGCTCCCTTGGGGCCTGCAGGGTAAAGGCAAAGCACTTGGGCAGAAAAGCTTCAGTTCTCTCTTCTCCCAGTGACAGCAGCAAATGAAAAATGTTAAGTGGAACTGGACAGATGGCAGGGCTCCTAATCTACCCTGATGACAGCCAGGATGGCCAAAGGAGTTCTTGCTCCTCAGCCACAAGGGACATTCACCTGTCCTACAACCCCACATTGCACCCTGGCACAGACCTGGGCTGACACACAGAGGTCCACACCTGTACTTGACACCAGCTCAGAGCAGTGTGAGCACAACCAAATCTTGTCCTGGGCAGCTTTGAGGGTCAGACCCTCCTGTTGTGGGTCTGGGATCCCCAAACCATCCTACAAGGGCTCTTGGGTCCTTTCTGTTCAAAGGGCGGCAGGTTTTGTATGAGAAAGAGCAACAGAAGGTGCAAAGGATGTTCACATCATACCAAGGGCTGATTCAGTCACCTAAACATGGGTGTCTGGTACCACTTGAGTTGCTCTGGGACATCTACATGGTCCTGGTAGATACAGTGCAAAACCATACCTTCTGGTGGGGCACCTGGAGATGTCTTTAAGAGGTCCAGGATTTGGTGACCAAATCAAGCTCCATTGGCTACAGTGGGAGCTCAGGGAACTGCCACACGTGACGTCTACATTTTGATGGCTTCATCTCGGGCTGAGTCCCACCACATGTGGCATCTCCTGTTCCTAAATGTATCTTTAGGCTCTTAACTCCTTCCTGATGGGAAACCCAGGAGCTCAGCTGGACACGACAGCTGAGCTCTGCGAGGTCCCTCCTGCCGGGAGCACAGACGCAGCCGTCTTGCTGCGAGCCAGGAATTCGTGACTCGGCACAGCTGTGTGACTGTGTTCCTGCAGGTTTCAGAATGATTATTACTTGAGGGGGAGAATTGTTTATTTCCAGCAGTTTTGGCAAGGCTAGCTCTCCACCGATGATTTCACTGCTGGTCTGCTTCCCACACTGTCTTGACAAGGACGCATCTTCCCAGGATGCTGAATGGGCCTTTCACGGCCTCTGCAAGATGTTGAGTGAAAGCAGAGCCCGCAGTTTTGCAGGTCTCCAGGATCTTTAACCATAAGCAAAACAAGACACTGCTTAGGATGGGCTGTGAATAGGTGCTGCACTCAGGCAGGGTGCAGAATGCGTCCTGCTGTGGTTGAGACAACCCAATATGAGAAAACCACCCTCCAGTGCATGCAGCTGAGGGGGATACTGCCCTTAGGTCGACTCAGTGCTCGGACCTGAAGGTCAAATGTTGCTGATGATGTGCAAAGAAAATTAAAATAGTATTCTGTCTTAAAATACGGCTGGTTTTCCTTCCAACACCTCATGCTCTGAATCATCCTATGTGATCACCTTCTACCTGAGTACCCTGTGCTTTAGACTGCCTGAATGGCCATGGTGACGGTTTGATCTGCCTTAACCACACCTTCCTGCTCTCTAAAGAGAAGGGGAAAAGAGTAAGCCCTGCATCTCCAAATGTGCCATGAAGCTGAATTCACTAATGTAAAGTACCTTGTGACCCACCACGAGATGTCCAGAGCAATGTTATGGAATTAACCCTGCTCTTTGAACTCAACAGGTTCTTCCTCTTTTCCTCCTCCATGACGCAAAATATACGTCATTAGTAGCCAGTCTAAAGCCATATTTTAAGACAGATACTAAATACCAGAAAAGGCACAGGCGAGACTCATATTTCAGAGCAGAAGCTGATCTCTGACCATTTGGGACTAACATGGGACTTTCATGGAGTAGAGCACACCGCATCTGCTAATGCAGAATATCCCACACCTCCAGCTAAGTCTGCTTCTAAACAGCAGAGACAGGGCATTAAAGATCAGGTCTAGCCTGCTTGTTTCTCTTTGGGTCTCAGGACTCCACCACCTCTGTCCAAGTCCTGCGTGACCTAGACCCACCCACACTTCAGAGAATTGCAAGGAGTCATTTCATCCTGTTCTTGCAGCTCGCGGGTAGCAGAAGTAGGGGGTGATTGCCCGGAGCAAGGGTAGGGAAAGGTCTGATCCCATCCACGTGTGGCATCTAGAGGTGTCACAAAGACTAGGATCATGTGTGGACAGAGGACCTCACCCCTTCCCAGACCTTTGGATACAATGCACGAGTGTCTGCTGGGCTTGTGCATGGCACGTGTGTTGCTCCCTACCCTTCCTGGGTGCAATACAAAGGGGAGACTGGGAAAGGGATAAACATAAAAGCAGAATGTGGTGGTTAGTCCAAGCCTGATTATTTCAAAGGCACCACGAAGGCAGCAGAGAAAACAGTATACAAGCAGAACGAGTTACTTGTAAAGGCACATGCTTAGAAACAAATTTCCTCTGGGAAAATGTTACACCAAAAGACTTTTTTCCAAAATTCTGCAAGTTTCTGCTGCAAGCAAGAGAAACGCTTCTTCAAGAGTGGATAGAAGACTCTCCATTTGCCAAAAGAGTAACATTTCTTCAGGGAGAAAAGGAAAAGAAACCCCTACACAGTTTTGGAAAGTCTTTTCTGCTTATCTGTGTTCCTGCATCTCTGCCACAAACTATGGTGACAAAAGCCACCCTTACCACAGCCCGAACTACTCAGCATCATGAGCAAATCTTTGCCTTCCAAATCGCCACTTCACTCCTACAGCTTCGCTGAGCCCGGCGAGCACTATTTCCCCCCAACCAGACCCAAGAAACACTGACATAGCCAAACTTTGCAGCTCGTGTCTGAAAGGTTTTCCCGGCCGTGGCAATAACAAGGAACTATCCTGGCTCTGTGGACCTCACCTTTGCTGGTTTCGCTCTCTCGAACAAGGAAAGAGCCGACTTTGTTACCAGAAGACAATAGCAGCCGTTCAGCATCTTTTCTGCTCAGAGTTTTAAAGTACCACCTGGGAGACAGAAAAGACAAAACCGTTATTTGAAAAGGCAAAGCTCTAAAAAAAAAAAAAAAAGCAAATTCTTTCCAGTTAGTTCATTTTTTTTTACTGTCACACTCTGAAACTGTGGATTATTTTTATCAGCAAATAGTTTTTTATCTACTGGAAAGTGCTGGTAATAGACTGGTTTTAGTAGATTAGCACCAGATTTTTGTCACTTTGGGCTTGTTTCACTGCCTAGCAATGCAGCCAGAGCAGAGTAGATGGTATATGCGGTACCTCGTACGCGAGAGGAGTGAAAGCTCAGCCAAGGCACAGCCTCTGAGGTGTGCTGGGACCCATGGCTTACTCTGAGCAGTGCTGGGGCAGGCTGCATATAAAGCAGATACGTGGGCTGGAGGCTGAGTGTTAGGGTGTCCATAGCCATTTAAATATACCCTTTGGATACAAAAAAGCATTTATATCTCAACCACATTTCTGTGTGCTGTTAAATATTTGCTGAATTTGGTGATGGCTATGTCCCTCCAAGAGCAGACTGCAAGCAGGGCTGATGATTTATAGCTGAACGCCATGGAGTAGAATAAGTCATGGAAATAATTCCTTCTGCTGCTTGTATTATAGGCATAATAAACCTTTTTGGCTCTAGTCTTTCTTGCCATTCTCTTTGTGGTGACCGAAACATGAAGGTTGCATCTGGGCTAATGAAACACGCAGTGCCAACCTGTGGGTCTGGGCACTGGCACTCAGTGTCTGTCCCATTAAATTGTTAGCGTGGTCCCTGGCACACCCGAGACCTGGATCCACGCACTCTTCCTGAGTGATTCCCAGCCCAGCTTTGCCTACGGACACCCTCTTGGGGGCTGAGGAAGTTTAACACTATGCGTGTGGGTGGATTGGCCCAGTGGGACCAGAGGATGGTCCCTGGCACTGCTGATTTAGCAGTGCAAATGTAACCTTTATGTTCTTTCCCCTAACTCTTTGTTTTCCACAGTGAGTGCGTTTAATGGGACAGGAGTCTTTGCCTACTTTCCCTGTAACAACCTCATCCTCTCTGCTCCGCACCCCCATGGGGTTTAAAACTTGTCCTGAACTTTTGAGCTGCATCGTTGGGGATGATGGAAGACCCCTTGCCATCCAGCCCATCACTGACACCTTCCTGACACCTACCATCGAGTAAAGCTGTTCCCGTGGCTCATTGAGAGACTGAGCATTTTTCAGAAAGGCCCTGCAGGAGTGTTTACCATTTATAGGCTTTTGCACTTACTTTTCCTCTTCCAAACTGTCTACTTGTGCGACGAAGTTGCTAGGGATGTAACCTTTCCTCCCGCTGCTGAGGGATTTTGCCAGCCACCATTCCCCCTCGCTGCAAAGCAAGTAGAAGAGAAAACATGAGTTGCCCAAGGAGGTTTCATGACAAGCTAAGGCTGTGGGGACAGCATGGGTTTTTTTGAGTTTTGAGCACTGCAAATAGGCCAGAACTCCTTAATCCACTCTACAGATCCCTCTTGATTTCCTAGGACCACCACCAGGTTGAAGGCTATTAGTGTCTAAGGGATTTCTGGAGGCGAAAGTCTCTTTCCATAAATGCAGAGGAAGCACAAAGTGTCCGCAGATTCAAACATCTGTCACTCACCCCAAGAGAGAGGAGGCAAATCTGGGTCACAGTGGGTTTGTCCCTTGCATAGGGACATCGGAGCTCGTCCTTTCTGCTCCTTCCTTTATCTGCCGGGGACCCCACTGCTTTTTTCTCCCACCACTGACTCAGCCACTAGCCGTGACCAAAAGCCATCCTTGCCCAGCAGTCTCCCCCACCCCATGGGTCCCAGTCCACAACATCTGAGTGAGAAATGTAGCTTCTGGAAGCCACCTCACAGGGTGAGCAAAGATGGAGCAGCTCTACAAGGTCAAATGACCAGGGCACCCAAGTCCACCTTTTCCCTGTTACGGACTGATCAGCTGGACTGCCAGCCTCTTCTCTGGTGGGTTTGAGAAGATGGTGAAATGAAGCCACATGCCTCTCTGGCTTGATTCAGTCCTTTCCTCTGACTACACCCAACCCACATCCTTTGCAAAAGCACGATCAGCACAAAATACGAAACAGGAGCTAGGTGATTGTTGTTATTTATGCTACTTCTGCGCCCACGCACACCGGCAGTGAAGAAGGTCCCAGTAGTATCCAGGCAAGGACACTACTCAACACATAAGTATCTGTAACCCATGGAAGTGTCACCTTCCTCGCCTTGCAGAGAGAAGAGAGTACCCATAGTCACACCCTGGAGCAAAGCTAAGACACAGGCTCAACTCTGGCGAGCTGTAAATTGGTGTCTGAGCCCAAGGTCCCCCCTTTCCCGGCCACACCATGCTCATCTTCAGATCCCCTCTGGCAGAAGGTCACTTACTTGGAGAGGACTTGAAGTTTCTCCCCTTTGACCAGTTGCAGGTCACGGTCACTTGAGGCAGGGAAATCGTACAGTGCAATCACAATAAAATTATCTGAAAGAAGAAGCAGTGCTATTGAATCCAGATGGTTCCCTGCCATCACCCCCTGCCTGGGGTGATGCACTTCCCCCCCATGCACACAGGGGCTGTCAACCTCCCGGTCCCCCAAAAACCAAGCTTTCCATCAACTCAGCTTTCCTGCCAACCACAACCTCTGCTGGGGCACTAATGCTGATTCACCAAAGTGCTTCCTGTGTATGTGTTTTTAAACACTCCAGACCCCTCTATCCACAAAACCCAGTGTGTCAACAAAGAAAAAACGGTTTGCGTGAAATAAGAAGGGTCATAAATAACCTGTCAGTCTTTGGCCTGTTTTACACAGCGGCAAATGAAAACTGCTGTAGCAACTTTTCCCTGGGATTTGACTCAGAAAGATAAGGCTTTCTTATTGAAAAAGGTATAAAGTCATCTCAGTTTCTGTTATTCGAGCCTATTGGTAGGATTCAACTCTCCCTCTAGATGCTCTCAACTCAGACTGTATCTTGTACGTATCTTTTATGGACTATTCCTTGCAGATGTGGCATCATGCTTAAGTCATGCTGCTGCTTTTGAACCAGCACTTCTATAGCACCTGGCTGCTCCGCTCCACTGAAATTCTCAAGGGGGTGGTGGATGCTCCAGGATCCCCTTCCCTCTCCCTGGCCCTGATGCACTTTAGATGCTCCAGACCACAAAACCAGTGCTCTGTGTCTCCCATTTTGCTTGCAACCCACCTGGACCAAGTCTGTGAGCAAGTCTGCATCCCCATCCCCTATCCTTCAGAAGGGCAATGGAGCTGGTGAGGGGTCTGGAGCACACGTCTTATGAGGAACAGCTGAGGAACCTGGGGGTGTTCAGACTGGAGAAAAGGAGGCTGAGGGGAGACCTTATCGCTCCCTAGAGCTCCCTGAAAGCAGGGTGTAGCGAGGGTGGGTCGGTCTCTTCTTCTGAGTAACAAGGGATAGGACAAGAGGAAACGGCCTCAAGTTGCATCAGGGGAGGTTTAGGATGGATATTAGGAAAAAGTTCTTCACAGAAAGGGTTGTTAAGCATTGGAACCGTCTGCCCAGGGAAGTGGTTGAGTTGCCACCCCTGGAGGTACTTAGAAGACATGTAGATGTGGTGCTGAGGGACGTGGTTTTGTTTTGGCAGTGTTAGGTTGACGGTTAGACTTGATGATCCTCATGCTCATTTCTAACCTAGACGGTTCTATGATTCTGTGATTCTACCCTACCATGTTGCTTTTACTCCAGCCATGTTGGTCGAGCCTAAGTTTTGGCATGGCAAAATGAACTTTCACTCTCTGGTGCATGTTTGCTGTGCTGTGCGTGGCAAAGCTGCTGCCTGGTATGTGTGCCGGGTGGCTGCTCACCCTCCCCGGGCAGATCTCTGCGGGCTGCAGTTGAATTGCTACCTTTGCACGCCCGGGTTGTGACGGTGCTGCTCTCGGAGAGGTTGTGCAACCGTTCACATGTGCTCTGCAGGCTCGCAGCTACTGAAGCAGAAATGAGCAGCTATTTTGGGGTAGATCAAACTTGACGAAGAGGATCAGCACATGCACACAAACACAAAAATCAAACCAAAACACAATGGTGAAAAAGAAAAAGAAAAGGAAAAAGGAAAGGAAAAAGGAAAGGAAAAATAAAAATAATAAGAAAAAAGAAAAAGAAAAAGAAAAAGAAAAAGAAAAAGAAAAAGAAAAAGAAAAAGAAAAAGAAAAAGAAAAAGAAAAAGAAAAAGAAAAAGAAAAAGAAAAAGAAAAAGAAAAAGAAAAAGAAAAAGAAAAAGAAAAAGAAAAAGAAAAAGAAAAAGAAAAAGAAAAAGAAAAAGAAAAAGAAAAAGAAAAAGAAAAAGAAAAAGAAAAAGAAAAAGAAAAAGAAAAAGAAAAAGAAAAAGAAAAAGAAAAAGAAAAAGAAAAAGAAAAAGAAAAAGAAAAAGAAAAAGAAAAAGAAAAAGAAAAAGAAAAAGAAAAAGAAAAAGAAAAAGAAAAAGAAAAAGAAAAAGAAAAAAAAGAAAAATGAGAGTATTTGCTGGAGAAAGGTTTTAGCTTGTACACAGACTAATTAATGCACTGAGAGCGATGGACGGTCTATAAATAGCATTTTTCAAAACAGACTGTCAAGCCACAGTCTCTGTGTGACCTTTTCAAATAATGCCACCAGCAAGAGAGCCAGACTGGCCCTTTGTCATCACAAGATAACGTGTCTCTGGGGCAACTTGGGTTTTGTGTCTGTGCAAGGCCTGGCTGCTGCTCTCCCGGCGGTTTATTGGAGAGGAGGGAGGAGAAAGGGTCAGCGTGGGAGGAAACGTAGCTTTGTAAACCAAAGCCCTGAGCAGTTCCCTTCAGGCTTGCAAGGAGGAACTTGAAGATCCATGAGAAGTTTCAGCAGAGCCTCACTCTCTCCTACGTATGGGGAAAAGGATGATCGGTCACAAGGGAGAAGGTTTTGAAGTCCTAAAATAGCTTGCATGGTTGGGGGCTTCCCCTTGAGGCATCTCAAAGTATTTGACCTTAGCAATGCACCCAAACTCGTGTTGCCTCCTTGAGGAAATTGTTATCACGCAGCTTCACTGACATGAAAGGTTTCTGGGCACGTGCCTACTGCAAGGTGTCCACAATTAATATGTTCATCTGCATGCACCATCTTGCTCTTCTTGGAAGTAAAATAATGCAGTGGACACACTTTTACTTTGAAAAAATGGAATCAAATGTGTAAACATCTTCAAGCACAGAGCGGCTGTGTGTTCCAGAAATGAAAAATGTAGTTTTGATCTTGAAGCAACTGACGTAAACACAAATAAACGAAACAAAAACCAAAAAGGAGAGAGGGAAAAAGAAAAAGAGCGAATATAGCAAGGACAAAAAGGTTTTATACACTGAAAAAATATTATGATCACCTCTTATCCCCTTCTCAACATAGGTGTTGAGAAACACTGCACACTTAAGCGAGCCAGAAGAAAAGCTCTCTCTACTCAAGCCAGCAAGACCTGCCATCTCATGATGAAAGTGACTCTTCCCATCTCTGCGCCTGTCACCCCACTGAGAAACAGCGTCGATAATACTTTCTTGGCCTATTTGATCAAGTTAGGTCATGAGCAACTCTACAGCACCCGACACAGGGAAGCCGTCAGGGCTGCGGGGAATGAGCGCTTTACAGATAATGCTCACAGCCCGGAGACTTTGATTGTGAGCCAAACACATCTTGGCTCGGAGTTGCTGTCAGGAAAGTTAGATACCAGCTCAGTTTGCACAGGCTGAGTGCCAGTTTGATGGCTTAACAGAAATGTTTCCAACAGTCTTGCCACTGCCACCCCATCATGGATGGAAAGTCTTTGCAACCATTCCACAGCTACAGAGCCAGGCTGAGACTGCACCCAGGGTCCCCTGGAGGACCGTCAACTGATTTAGAGCCGTGCTAGGATGGCTGTGGGGTAAATGACAACTTGCAGCATGTGTGTTGGCCAGCTGGGTGCACTGAGCTATAGTTACTGCTGCTGAAAATGAGCCCAGCTTTCTGTTTCAGCGCAGCACGAGCTGGTTCACCAAGGTAAACATGTGCTAGAAAAGCATGCCTTCAAAACACATAGCTGCTGCTGTCACCAAGAGGAACGCCATTAGATCCCGTTGGTGGAGATGCAGGAGATGATGGGTTGGGACTGTTGCATCTCCCATCTGGTCAGGTAGCCCAGGTGTGACGGCATGGGAGATGTCTCCTGGGACATCCAGGCTTGCACTGCAAGAGTGCTTTCTGCCAAATACCTTTCTGCCTTGTGTTTCAACACAGTGGATGTTTTTGCAGATAATATCTTCTTTCCCTTTAAAATCATGTCCTACCCAAAGTCATAATTTTTTTTATCAGGAAATTTGAACATTTTGGGCAATTCCCTCTCACCTTCCTTCCCCCTCTTGCTTTTGATTGGCAATGACCATTTTTGATGAGAAGTTTTAATTTCTCTTTGAAAAGTCATCCTTTTCAGCAGAAAAAAAACCCTCCTATTTCCAATTAAGCTCAAAAACATGTTTCTCACAGCGTTCGTTTCAAACTCAAATCCATACTCAGGGAACAGCAACGAAACAACAAAGGGCTTTGATGCTCATCTTGAGGTGCCTCAAAAGACCTCAATTCCAGAGCACGCTTAGCTCCCACCCTTGAAAGTCTTATTCATACTATGGTTAGCCAAAAGCAAGTGAAAAGAGCTGTAAGAAGTTGCAGTTCCTCAATCAGAAGAAACAGCCTCGCAGAGAGACCGATTCTTTGTGCAGTTGCAGGTTGTTATAATGCCGGAGGACAAACACCCCGACCAACCAGCCCTCTCCACCAGCGGTCCTTAAATCCAGATGTGAGCAGCTGGCAGGGCAAGGGCAGGGGTTATTCTACCTGTCTGCTATGCCTTATCTATCCAACGCAAAAGAATAGCAGCAGCTGTAGCAATGGAGCTGCTGTGTTTGGGAATCACCACCGTGGGCCAAGACTGTGCTGCGCTGCGAGCTTTAGAGGTGCAGAATTAAAGGTGAGGTTTTGGCCCTATTGAGATAATAGACCCAACCTTAAAGACACGGTGAGCGCTTAGGAAACCAGGGTAAAAGGAACGAGAGACTCACACGATGGAAGAACCCATCCCAAGTGAAAAGTGGACTGGCGCTGCTGACAACACCACAGTCGAATCCGGAGGTGTATACTCCCTGCCTGCCTTTGTGTTACTTCCATTAAGCTAAATAACGTCAGGAGGAATAAGGCTTTTGTTAACAATAAGTAAATAAATGATTTCTGAGACAGTGGTGTGAAAGTTTGAAACTGTGAAACAAGTTGCACAACACTAGGATCACCAAAAAAAAAAAAAAAATCAAAACGCAAGGAATGCAAAAAAAAGAAAAAGACCAAAAAAAAGGGGGGTTAAGTTATATTATTTCACACTTCCATAGTCAGTAGTTTTGCCTGATTGAGCTTGAAGTGCTCCCACAGGATACAGTTCAGTTCTTTGATTTTTTTTATATGATTGAATTGCCTGAATTTTGTGCTTTCTCTATCAATTCACTTGAATTGCCTTCTTTCGTGAGAGTATCTTGGATATCGCGAATATCTGAGATATCGCAAGTATCTTGCATGGTTCCTATCAGCCCCTTTTGCCACACAGGACAGAGTCAGGCATAGCACTATTTCTGGAAACTCAGGCACCAGTAGAGAAAAATAAAAAGTTCCCCAGACTGTCAGTGTGAGTATTCCTCCAAAACTGGAACTGAACCCAACAAATCAAAATATTTTTGAGACCTGAAAATGGCTAACATGCTATTTAGCGCATTTTTTAGCATCTTTCCACTTCTGCCTTCTGGCATGAAGCAGAAGTAAAAGCCGCCTCCCTGAAGGTAGCTTCTGTTGTGCCTCTCACCAGAGTGAGAAGGTTGATAAAACCCCTGTGAAAAACTGGCGATGACTGCTCAGCTGCGGAGGCAGGATAGCACGGCCACTTGGAAATGTGCCCTGAAAACAATTTTGCAAAAGCAAGCGTGCTTTGTGGAAAAACGATAATCCCACAGAAAGGTACCCTGATTCACATGGTTGAAGAGCTGCTCCTCCCACAAATTTGAACTCCGTAACAAATGTCAACTTTGAAGAATATTTTGACTTTGCAGGAGTTCCTCTGTCTGCCCCATGGCAGAGACCCTCCATCATCATCCACAAGACCTAAGAAGACCTAGGTCTGCTTTTCTACCCATCCTATTTATTTGTCACCCCGCTTTTTCCTTTCCTCATGCCTTGTTTCCCCTAACCTACACTTTCACCCACGTAAGGAACTTCTGTGTGTTGCTGTTTTCTTCCAAGCTTTCTCTATTTTTTGCCCTCTTCTAATTCTGTCTCTCTGTCCTTAATCTGCAAAAGTTCTTTGACAGAAATACACACAATTTGCTGTCGGAGGCTGGGCAGCGGTAGCAGAGGGCTTCCTGCTAAAAGGCAATCATCTACCAAACGCCATCTGCGACCCGCAGATAATTGCAGAGGTGGATGAAGCCAACAAACAGTCTCCAAGCAGGGGCTCTGTGCATCCTTATTTTATACTCTTTCCTTTCTTCTCGTTCTCTTTGTAGTCTCTCTGGGCTCTCTGATGCCTGCTATTTCCTCTGAAATTTTCAGCTGGCTGGATGTAGCATCCACCAGTTGTCACGCTGCAGACAAGGCAGCAGACAGAGAAATTTCATGCAATTGATGCCTCAGATCTCACTTTGCTCGACCGATGAAGAAGGAGTGCTTTTCCCTCTTAATTTCTTTGATGAGCAGGGGTAACTGGCAGCTACAAATGCTTAGTGATGTAAACTGAATCTTCCGAAACACACTGATAAATTCCCTGCCCGGCAATGCTGAAGATACGGAAACCGCACGCCTGCGACACGACGGCTTGTTCTCAAGACCTGCTGTTGGGGGACCACCACCTTGCAAAACCCCAGGGGAAGGTGAAGAAAACAGAGATAAAAGTTCTTAGCAATTGAGCTAAGAATCTTACCTTGTACAGAGGCTTGATTTAGATGAGGGATGTTGATAAATTCTCTGCCCTTTGGTAGAAATAGAAAGAAAAAAGAAGACATTTATTACTTTGCTGTGTTTGCAGGAAGACCTGCTCTGAGCTTCACAGATGAGTGGGAGTCTGATCTGGAGCCCACTGTAGTCAGCCAGCAGTCCCTGCATCTGGCTCTGTATGTGTCATGATGGCTTTAGCACATTTTGCCATGATGTGTTCATTGCTGTTTTGACAGTCGGCTTGAATACTCCTTGGCTCCCCTCAGAATAAAAACACAAATCTGCTCCCCACTCATTCAGACCCTGCTCTATCTAACTCTTGTTCACTGATGCCAGATTTCGGATCAATGGGGGATGTGACACTAATGGTCCCATTGAGAAATGACAATTGCAATATTATTTGCAGCAGAAAACCCGGGATACTCTTTGCCGTGGTTGTCCCAAGGCTCGTGGAACGTCCTTTGCTCAGGGACACGTTCAAAAATTAGAGGCAGTGACTATATTAGCAAATAAAACAGCAGCAAGGTACTGCAACTCATCTAGGCACACTTTTAAAACGTTGACATGGTCGCTGGTTTGGTTTGGCCCACACCCTGAGAGTGGCCAATTGACCATAGACCACTCCTAATGAGCAGCTGGGATGCAACCACCTTGTTATGTGGGCTAAGAGATTAATTGTATGGAAATGGTCAGGTGGGCTCTGTTGACCTCTACCCAGCCTCAAACGTCAATCCTGTGATCAGTCCAAGGTACAATGCCTAGTGATTAAAGTGGGTGTGTGACCACTGAATTAAAAACATCTAGTGCTTTCTGTCCACACCACCCTTTGACTCCTAGTTAGCAGCAGTGTGGGCTGGGAGCGCTGCTCACCCACTGCCCTTTCTAATTTAGCTGAAAGAAATATGGACTTCCCCTGACATGTGAGAGCTTAGTGCTCATGGCAAAAAAAAAACGAGTGTCAGAAGGTGATTGATGATACTGTATTTACACTGATAGCAGCTCCTCTCCAGTGAGCTGGAGAGAAGGAAATTTAAGAACAGAACATCCTCTTGGTCAATCTGATGTCTGCTGTCATTAAAACTGGACATAACCATGGAAGAACTCAGAAATTAAACCAAAGGAGAAAAAACCATCTCTACCTGTCATAAAAAACAATGATAGGCAATTCCTCCCCCTTTCTGAGACCTCAAGACCCAAGATGGTTTTCACTTGACCGTTGCATCTAGGGTTTTTCTTGTGCTAGCTGCTGGATGTAGTACTGACAAGGGCAAGAAAAAACAACTTAATGTCCTCTGTACAGCCACAGGCAGATAGATAAAGTGATTTCCTAGGTTTAAACAAGGGGTCTGTCATTTGAAGTCTCCTAAATCTGATCCCAGTGTCTTACTGATGTGTGTCCATGTAAGGAGAGTCCATAGGAATTCAAAGGGAGCAGCAGATGCTCAGTGTTCCCGATTCTCAGCCCACCCCAACACAGGTTAGCCGTAGACCTTTTTTAGTGAACCTGTTGTCCTCCCTGATGGTAAAGTTTCCGCTGTGGTTTGCATCTTTGAATCTTAGCCTGAGTCTGACCCATCTTCATGCCGTTTGCAAGTCAGCAACATCAGCTTGGGTTGCAGAGTGCTGAGGGCAGCAGCCCTGTCTAAGAGGTGTGGGGATCGCCTCAGAGGACTTGTGTCCAAGCAATGCCGGACACACAGGGCAGTGGCCTCTGCACCTTCTCTCCCTGTATCCTGAACTGTTCTCCAGTCCAGCCCACGCAAATAATTGCGCCAGGCTTGACACGACATAGCTTTTCAGAGCACCACCATCCATAGCCCACTCAGGGAATTCATGGCCATAACATATCCCCAGAGAGAAAATGGCATCCTTTTTGACAGAGAAAAAACCTGGAGCAAGAAAGGGTTGATGGAACAGTTCACTCCATATTAAGGATCTCGTGGAGGGAAGCCAGGCGTAAACATTTGTTTTCTGCTTTGGAACATCATTACCCAATTGGTGACCCAATTTTAGGAAACAGAAGCTCTCAAGTTCCTGCTAGCACACACAAGTATTGCCTGCATCACTCCAGACACTAACCGAGCTGTGGAGGACCCCAAAAGGACACAAAACCGCAGGCTTACCTTTGGTGGGGCGGGAGGAGGTTTACTCTTGGTTTTTGGGTTGCTTCCAGAAGCGTGTTTCTCATTGGATGTCAGCTGATTTTTGCTCCAGAGCAACCCCATCCTGGAAGAAAGACCAGAAATGACTTTTTAATGAGACTGCTCTTGGGAAAAGGGGCAGGCACTGAGGGACAAAACAGTCTTCTCACTCATGAAGAACAAGTTGGAGAAGATGAGAATGCAGGGCAACAGGATAGTGTAGAGAAGAGTCTAAAATCATTCTGTCTACAGTCCTCCTACTACCTTGGACCTTGTGAACCCCATAGTTTCTGTTCCCACACAACTCTGGTGTTTCACACTTTGCAGATGAGGCTCAGACAGACACTATAAGCTACCAGAAAAAAGTAAGCACCAATGACTGCTTTGGATATATGCCCTGTCCAATGCAGAGACTCCCAGCCAGTACTGAGCAGACCTGCTCCAGAGCTGAGTGATGCCGCATGCATGCACTGCTGGAGGGTCGAAGAGGTGGTGCCGTAGATCCTGGGGAATATCCCTGTGCTGAGCTGTTCCGATGTACCAGGGCTTCAAGAGTGTCATACAGTCCCCAGACCAAAACCTCATGACGCTCAGTGCCTTCTGTAGGTCATGTCCCTGCCATGCAGCAAGAGCACCACACAGATGTGGTAGCTCTCTGCATGGTACTCACCCTTCCTTGTGCTTAAGCAGCAGAGACACGCACTCAGCTTGTCCATGAAGGCACGGGACCTTTGGAGGACTGCAAGAGGCTTAGGGAGTCAAACGTGGTGTAGCTTGCATCCTTCCTGCCTGTAAAGTGTGGGCCTAAGGTTTGACTCAGTTGTCCACATGCAATGCACCTTTTGATGTTGACCTTATAACAGCCTTCCAGTACCTAAAGGGAGCCTACAGGAGAGCTGGGGAAGAACTTTTTACAAGGGCGTGCCGTGATAGGATGAGGGGTAATGGCTTCAAATTGGAAAAGGGGACATTTAGATTAGATATTAGGAAGAAATTTTTCACTGTGAGGGTGGTGAGGCACTGGCCCGTGTTGCCCAGAGAAGCTGTGGCTGCCCCATCCCTGGAGGTGTTCAAGGCCAGGTTGGATGGGGCTTGGAGCAACCTGGGCTGGTGGGAGGTGTCCCTGCCCATGGCAGGGGGGGGTGGAACTGGATGATCTTCAAGGTCCCTTCTGACCTAAATCATTCTATGTGCCCTGGGGTCTCACAAATTGTGGGTCTCCCATACATCATGGATTATGTTTTCCAACCCCATCTGCGTGTCTCAGACCTTATGGACACCTCAAGGATCACTAGACATAAATTAATCAAACCCTTTCCACAGACTATCCTCTGCTCCACACTAGGGTTTCCACACTTGTGCTTGAGGGCTCATTTAACTTCCAGCCCAGAAATGTAATTCCAGCTCTAGTCAATAATTCTAGCAAAATACTGGATTTGGGTAGCCAAGATAGTCAAACCATGGAAAATTTAGCATGTTCAACAACCTGAAAAATTTGAAGCCAGCATTACTGAAGTGCTGTAGCCACAAGTATATAAGATATTTACACCGTCCAGTGCCAAAGTTTGCCCCGGCTCCTGCTTTGAACCAAAGGGATTGAAAGGTGTGGGCTACGCGTTCAAAAAAATCCAAACAACCCAAACCCCAAATACTAGTAGCTAAACAAAGACACATTGGCTCCTGTTCTTGCGAAAAAACCTCAAGGTCTGCAATGAACATGGAAAATCAGGGACTGGAGGATGAGGGACAAATGCAGTTGGTCAGTTCCCCCAAATGTCAGTCTGGTGCTGTGTCGTGATGGTCAGACTCCAATAGCTTCAAAAAAGCTTCCGACAAACCAGACTTGCAGGAAAAAATTATTCCAGGAAAAGCAACTTTTTTTTTTTTTTCCTTTCTAGCACATATCTAATATTTCAAAAACTGGGACTCTGAAATGAGGTTTCTAACAGAGCCATCCCAATATTTTAAGGTGTTATTTTTTTGAAATACCTTCTCCCTTCTGCCTCATTTTTATTGTCACTGATAAAGTGAGCAAAATGAAAGACATTGGTGAAATATTTCAGGGTAGCCCAATACACATTTTTCTCCCCAATCAAAAGTTTTTCCGCATCTAAACTTCTCTCAGCTCTTCTCCGACCTGAGTTTACAGATGACCCATACATCTGTAGCCGGGTCTCAGCACTGCTCTGGGCACTGACAACATGGTTGGAGGGGAAGTTTCACCCACTGAATCAGCCACAACGTTTCCTGCAGCAAGTTCATGTTCATTTGGCAGCCTCCCTTCCAGGTTGCAACCAGGGTTTGCTTTGCTTAGAAGACCTGGTTGTCATGCAACGGCACGTGATTTACTAAGTGAGCTGTTCCCGCTCTTCCACTTGCAAACTGCTGGAAGATAGCTTTCTGCTGGAATTTCTGATTCTGAATAGTGTTATTTGCCAGGATAGTAAGTGAGAGTAGCTGGAGTTCCCTTTTCACCTCGGGAACTGCAAGGTATCATTTTAAGTCAAGGCTGGATAATTACAAATTTTAGGTATCACTCACTGCCAACCTAGAAAGACACAGAGTCTACCTATGCATTGGACATCTATCTGTGGTCCTTATTACTGTCTCACTGGAGCATCTTGGGGCCTTTGGTACAGTCTGCCCTGGAATGGGAGATACAGACGTAGCCATTGCTGTCTTTTCTACAGAGGGGACGTGAGATATAGCACGAGTCGGCAGTATGCTTCAAACACCAGTTACGTCACCAGGATGATCTTACGAGAGGATTGATGGACCATCTGCAGGATGGTGGATGCACATTTTGGGGTTTTGAGTTTCTCTCAGTGAGGGCACTGGTGGGGCAGAGTGGGAAAGAGCATGGAGGAAGGTCAACCTCGACAAGTTCCATCAAGGCTTTGTGGCCATCCCAACTCCTCTGACAGGGTTTTAGAGGAGTGGGGACCATGCTTGAACCTGTGCAGCTTCCCCTGGTGCTCCTGTGTCCAGGGTGACATTGCAACCCTTTCTGCATCACACTGAGAATGGAAACACCTCTCCGCATGCTTGCACAAGCTGAAGACACACCTGTGCAAAGCCACATAGAGAAGCGAACAGCGTGTCCCAGCACCAGTGGGAAATGGAACCAGCAAAAAGTCTCCCACAAAGGTCACTCACTCCCACCCACGCACAGAAGACGTTAGCACAGCTCTGGGTGTTCAGAGCCCCTCCGAAATCCACCCTTTGTGCTCTTCAGGTCATCTCTGCAGCTTTCGGCAGCCAATGCGACCAACCTTCTTCCCAGCAGGTGCTCTACAAGATCCCAAAATTGCACCATAGACAAACAACATCAGATGCGGAGAGCTGCTGGTAGGCTTCCAGCCCACAGCTGATGAAATTTTCTTTTTTTTTTAATTTTTTTCTTTTTTCCCAAAAAAGGTGGCTGAGTTGAATGTACGTTGTGCCGCAGTGTTTCTGCTTCTGATTAATGTCTTTTAAAATTAGCTTCACAAAAGTATTTTGAAAAAAGTAACTGATCGTTTTCCCAGTCTTTTTTTTTGTTGTTGTTGATTTGCTTTGGTTGTTGGTGGTTTTTTTTTCCCAGTGGAAAAGACTGTTGAGGGGAAAACAGTAACTCAGAAAAGCAAGAAAATTTCCTTTTGTGAATTTACATTTTTTCACATCTAAAGATATTTGTTTATTTTTAATAACTGAGAGTGAGGAAACTCATTTCCTCAACTTTACTCAAGTTCAAAAAAAAAAAAAAAAGAAGAGGATTTATAAACCAAGTTCTTTTTAAAGCAACCAGAAATCAAAATGGAACAAAAAAAATTCTAAGGCAACGTAAAATTTTTCCGTACGCTTGAAAAGATTTAGCAAAAAATAGTCCAGCTTAGCTGCTGACAAGTTTTGAGTAAAACTATTTGACGCAGAGGTCTGCCTGGGAGAGTCAAGCAAGCCTTTGCTGAAGAAGCCAGTAGACAGCAGGATGGTGAGCTCTGTGTAGCATCCAACTCTGAACACCTGTGGAACAGACGTGCAAGTCACAGGAACGCTGGATGCTTGTATAGGCCCTCTAAAACATGCTGTGTGCCCCATGATGCAGGATGACAGAAGATAATTTTAGTAACCTTCAGAGAGGCAGTCGAGGTGACATTTTGCCTAACAAGAGCTGGATGCAGGTACAGGTGTTCCTGCAGCAATGGGCCAAGGGGAGGTCTCCAGAAGATTCCACCCCAAGGCCCTGCTCCAGCAATGCTTCTGCTGGAATTTGGACATCTTCGTGGTGGAAAGGAGAGGATGTGACTAAATGTCCTATCACTTGCCCATCTTCAAAGAGGGTTGGAGAACATACCGTACAGGAGCAACCCGTCAGGCTGAACCTGGAACTCAAGGGGGACCAGTAGAGGTAGAGGCAAGTCTTTGTTGACCACAGGGTTTGGAGCCCTGCCTCGCCCCTATGCTCAACGTGTTTTGAGCGTCCAGCATGGACTAAAGCAAACAGGACAGTGTTGAATTTGACCTACTGGAAGCACTTACTCCTTTTGTTGCAGCAGATCAGAGGGTAGGATGGAGGTACCTGGGCTAAGCCAAGTGCTGCAAGCATTTGCTCATATCATCTTTACAGCAAGCAGCGCTGCACCACGGGCACACCATCTACTGCTGTTGGCTGCTTTCCACTACCAGAGGAAGAGAGCTCAAAACTTGTTTCTGATGTGAATACAGCAATGTCTTCTGCAACAGGGATGTGGATGACACAGACAAAAGGCCTTGGGATTGCATGAGTGGGTGCGGGGAAAAAACAAGACAGAATCTAGCAGAAAAGCAGAAGTCTCAGCTCATCATTTGCCTCACCCCCCTGAAACTGTGCCATGGAAAAATAGTTTAAGACCCAAGTGAGCCAATAGTGTTTCAGTGTGAGGGCAGCTCCAAAAAACCCCCAAGCCCAGTGAAATCACAAAATGAGCCCCCTTTCCATTCAGATTCAAGGGCCGGCCCAACAAAGTGTTGTCATCGTTCACCAAGATTAGATATTTCACTTCATTTTAAAACTTCAGAGTATCTTTTTTAGGAAAACACATTTAAAAGGAAATGGCATTAAAAAC